AAAGAAAGAAGGAAGAAAGAAAGAAAAAGAAAGAAAGAGAGAAAGAAAGGAAGGAAGGAAGGAAGGAAGAAAACCAAGCAAGTGTGAAACTGGGTGCCTAATAAATATTCACTGCATTCATTTTTTGTTTTATTTTTGTTTTTTGGGACAGGGTCTTGCTCTGCAGTACAGGCTGACCTTGAACTCACTATGTAGCCCAGGCTGGCCTCAAACTTGCAGCAATCCTCCTGCCTCAGCCTCCTGAGTGCTAGGATTACACACATGCACCACCAGGCCTGGCTTGTTGCTCTTTCCTGGGAGACTTGGGGGCCATTTGCCCTGCAGTGCCTGGCCCTAGGCTGGGCGGAAGAGTGGTCAAGGCACTCAGATTCTGAGTCATCTTTTTGCCTGGCCTCTGAGCTCCCTGACCCAGGACTGACCCTTCTGGGAGCCCCAGATGTCAACAGGGGGTGGGAGGAAATGCTATGGTCAGCTGCCAGTGGCAGAGGAGGTCACTTTCGGGTCAGGCAGCAGCCCCAGTGATCTTATGGCATCGTCCAGTAAGCAATGAGAATGAAGCTGGGTGTAGCACATGCCTGTAATCTCAGGACTTGGGAGGCTGAGGCAGGAGGATCGCTGCAAATTCGAGGTCAGCTAGGGCTATACAGTGAGTTCAAGGCCAGCCTGAAGGGCATCACAAGCGTGTCTCAATACACCAAAACAAAACAAACAAAAGCGCTGAACATGTGTCCCAGGCCAGAGTGTGTGTGTTTTAGGGTGGAGTTCCACTATGCTGCCCCTGCTGGCCTCCGAGTCAAAATTCTCCTGCCTCAGCCTCCAGAGGAACTGGGATGATTACATGCGGGAACTGTGGGGTCCAGCCCAGTGTGCCTTTTGACGCTGCTCCCCAGCCCCGGCTCTACTCGGCCTGGATTCTTTTTCCCAGGGCTCAGGCTTGGGGTCTCTGCCCCTGGAGGCCTTCCCTGGAGTAAGTGACTCCTCTTCTGGGTCACTTTTCTGGGTCACTTCCCGCGGGCAGATTCTAAGATGGGGTTAAAGGTCACAAGGAGCAGTGTCCACAGAGAACAAAGGATCGGCCCGCCTTCTGATATCAGCGCTCAGGAGGGCTCGGCGGCCCTGCCGGCGTTGCACCTGGGGCCTGAGCGAGCAAACAGCAGACAAAGCGCCGCGAAGAGCCTTCTCCAAACAAGTGCTGTGCGCGCTCCAGAACGCGCCGTCCTGCGGCAGGACTGAGCGCGCTCCCGCCCAGGGAGCTGGGAACAGGGTGCGCTTGGGGCACGGAGGGAGCTGGAACAGGGACGGTAGGTTAGATAACCTGGGTCAGGGTACGGCCCTGAGGTTGTTTATGTAAGAGTTCCTGTTCCCCGCTGCGGGCCAGAGGGCAAGAGCACATGCATGACACAGAAAACTCGCGTGTGTGAGCGCGCGCGGGAGTGTTCTCTCTCCATGTGTCCGCAGACGTCTGTGATGTGCCTGTTGCTCGCGTGTGTTTTATGCGTGTGCGTTCCTCCGTATATCTGATGTTACTGTTTTTGTCTTGTTTTGCTTTGTTGTAGCAGGGATGGAATTCAGAGCCTTCACGCTGAGCTCCTCTCCCCTTTAGCTCTTTCTATTTGTTTAGGCAATTATTTTTCACAGGAATCTTTCTGCTTCAGCCTCCTAGGTGCCAGTATTACTGGCATGCATTATCACACCCAAATTTTTTTGCGGGGCTGAGGTAGGGTTCTTTTATGTAGTTCAGGCCGGCCTTGAACTCATCATGTAGCAGGGATCCTCCTGCCTCAGCTTCCGCAGTGCTGAGATAACAGGTGTATACCACCACACCCCTGTCCTCTTTTATTCTTTTGAGAAAGGGTCTCACTAAATTGTCCAGGCTGGCCTTGAATTTATGACGCTCTCATCTGAGCCTCTGAGACGGCTGGGATTAAGGTGTGTATTTCCACATCTAACAACCTCATTCTTGTTATAAAAACGTGCTTGGGTGCATTACATACCTGTGCACATTTTTTATATTCTACATATATATATTTTTGAAGTGCTGGGAACGAATCCTTGCACATGCTAGGCAAGTACTCTACACCCCAGCCCTGTGTGTGCATTTTACATATACTCATCTGCATGTATTTCACACAAATATGTGTATGTATGCATGTCTGCCTTACTGTGTAAATGTGGCTTTCTCTGTATGTGTATGTTCATGTGTATTTCATACATGTCTCAGTGCATATTAATATGCCTCTACAGATATGCCATCTGCCTGTGTATGTAGCGTATATAACGTGTGTAGATTACATATACATGTATTTCTGTGTACATAAATGTGTGTATTGTCTATACCTACATGTAGATGTGGATAGTATAATTATGCCTTCTTCCATAAATATGTTTGTGTGCCTATATTGTATCTATCTCCATATAGCTGTGTGTTTCTATACATAAGTATGTTTCCATGAATGTTGTTATCATTTGTTTTTTGGTTGGTTGGTTGTTTTTTGTTTGTTTGTTTGTTTTTGTCTTTTTGAGACAAGGTCCCCCTATGCAGTTCAGGCTGGTCTTGAACTCACTTATGTAGCCCAGGCTGGCTTTGAACTTGCAAGGATCCTTCTGCCTCAGCCTCCTGAGTGCTGGGAGTACAACAGGCGTATGCCATGGTTGGTTTTTTTTTTGAGACAATGTCTCACTATGCAGTCCAGGCTGGCCTTGAACTCATGGCGATCCTCCTGCCTCAGCCTCCTGAGTGCTACAATTACAGGTGTGCACCACCACAGCTGGCCAGTAACACTTAGTATCTCATAGTCTGTATGTGTCAGGAGTTCAAGAGTAGCTGGGCCAGGTGGTCTCTCTTATTCCTCTTTTTTTCTTCTGTATCAGAAATCGAACTCAAGACCTTGCGCTTGCCAGGCAGGCACTTGTGCCGCTGAGCTATAGTCCCAGCCCTGGGCCAGCGGGTCTCGGCTTGCAGTCTGCTGCAGTTGCCGACAGGTGTCGGCGGAGGCTGCAGTCATCTACAAGCTTGACTGGAGCTGGAGAGCTGCTTGGTAGACAGCCACTACCAGTGTGGTGGCGCACACCTGTAATCCGAGCACTTGAGAGGCTGAGGCAGGAGGATCTCTGTGAGTTTGAGGCCAGCTTGGGCTACATAGTGAGGCCCTGCCTCAAACAAAACAAAACAAAACAAAATAAAACAGCACACATCCCACCAGGCACTTCCCCCACCCCAGGCAGTGTTCGAAGGTGATTAGGTATTCATTCACCCACCCTCCATGCTTGGAGATGGGAAGACTGAGCCCTCGGGACACCGTGTCCTGCCCCAGGCTGAAACCTCACAGCAGCAGGGCTCGGTCTACTTCACCCTGCTGCCCGGAGGCCGGCTGCCCACAGACCACAGCCATCTTCCTCCTGCCTCTAGGCGTTTCGTGGCTGTTTTGCTTTGTTTTGTTGTTGTGTTGTGTTGCTTTTGAGAGAAGGTCTTTCTGTGCAGTAGTCCTGGCTGGCCTTGAACTTGCTACGCAGCTCAGCTTGCCCTCAAACTCATGATCCTCCTGCCTCAGCCTTCCAAGTGCTGGGACTTATTTTTCCTTCTCTGGCAACAGACTCGGCTCCCAGGCTTCTGTCTTCCTGGCTGTTTGTCTGGACTGGAGCCGCCTGGGGTCAGGGTTAGGAGGTGGGTGTCACACCGAGGGCCCAGCAGGAGCACTCGGCTGGTTGTGTGTGCAGTTGGAGGGAGCATTCCGAAGGGAAGCTTTAGGATAGAGTCTGGGCGCCTTTCATAAAGAGCACAGTATGTGCCTCTGAGTCCTCTATGCTGGTTTTTTGTTTTTGTTTTGTTTTTTTTTTTTTTGGTACCGGGAATCGAACTCAGGACCTTGCACTTGCCAGGCAGGTGCTTATGCCACTGAGCTATATCCCCGGTCCCCCTCTGTGATATTCTTGATTTTTTTCTTTTTTCTGTACTGGGGATTGAACAGGCTTTTGCACTGAGCTATAGCTCTAGACCTTTATTCATTTCATATATATATATATAATATATATATATATATATTAGTTGTTGTTGTTTGTTTTTATTTTGTTTTTGAGACTAGGTCTTGCCACGTCACTAAGTTGCCCAGCCTGGGCTCCAATTTGTGACCTTCCTGCCTCTGCCTCCAGACTCTGGAATTACAGGTGGGTGCCGCCTCCTCCCCAACCCACAGTTTAGTGTCTGCTGGTTTTGTGCCGTCTGAAACAAGAGGCCAAAGAAGTCCCTGGGAGGCAGCTCTGGAGAAGGCCATCGGAGAGGAGCGTGGATCCTTTCCCTTGGGGCGGAAGCCGGGCGAGGGGCGAGGTGCTCTGGAATAGCTTGGCGCGGCGATGCCACCGTCAGAGAGAGGCTGAGGGGCTGGGGCGGTGGCGGGCCGGATGTGGCCGTAAAGTGGCCCGAGCGGGGGTTTCCTCCTGCCCTTCCAGTCTGCCGGGATCGGCTGGCCTGGCACGCGGCCCAGCCCGGCCAAGGGTTTGAGTGGCTGCGGGGCGCGAGGCTTCGCGTTCCAAAGGCTGCGCCGCTGGCTGCCGGCCCTGCCGAGTCAACCCGGTTCTTTTTCTTTCGTTCTTTTCCGGTTTTCTGCGCCCACCCGCCCCGCGGTTCTTCCTGGCAGGCAGGTTTGCCGTGCCAGCCTCTGTGCGGAAGGGAACACGAAGGAGAGCTCAGCCTTGCGGCACGCGCAGCAGGATCCGCTGCAGAGTCTCACTCGGCTCATCCTTTGTCCCAACCTGTCCCTTTTCAGGCTCAGAGTGCTGGGGTCTCTCCACCTCCACGCAGGGCTCTGGGCTGGGGCCAGCAGCCCTTTTCATTGCAGGAGGGAAGGAGGGAAGGAAGGAAGGAAGGCGGAACGGGAACCTTCTTTCCCCGTGTCTCAGGTTTGGCTTGAACACGGGAATACCCGGAACGGGACGACCTCGGTGACGGATGGGAACCGGAGCTGTGGTCTGCACGGTGTGGAGCCCCACTGGGGCGCCGGCAATCTGAGAAAAGGAGGCGGGGCGGAGACGCTCAAGAATCTCACAGACACCTCCGCGATGACATCCCCGGCCGGGAAGGGGCGCGGGACCCGGGGCCGCGCCTGGAGTGGGGAGGGAGCTGCCGCTTGGTCTTGGGCCCGCGGAGCGTGGGCGGCTTCCCGGAGGCCGCTAGACTCAGGAGGGGACCTCCCTGACAAGCAGTCCTCATCGCCCTGCTCCCCAACATGACCGGAGGGGGTGGCAGGAAGGTCGCCCGGTCGGGACGGCGCGAGGACCACCCCGGAACACGGCGGCAGAGGGATGGGGGGCAGCGGGCCAAGAGGGTCGCGTGTCCCGTGGTTGCCAGAGTCAGGCGCACGGTTGAGGGGGGCCGTAGCTCCGCAACCCCAAAATTCCCCGGGCTCCGGCCGCACGCAAGACCGCGCCCCTGCGCGCCCCGCCCCGCGCCTCCCGCCTGGCGCTCGCTCTATAAAAGGGGGCGTCGGACGCCGGCGGGGAC